AAATCATATGCTCATCTCAATAGATGCAGAAAAAGCTTTGACAAAATCCCAGCATCCATTCATGACAAAAACTCTCAACAAAATAAGTTTAGAGGGAATCTGCCTCAACATAATAAAAGCCTTATACGAAAAATCTACAGCTAACATCATATTCAGTGGTACAAAACTGAAAGCATTTCTTCTGAGATCAGGAACAAGACAAGGATGTCCACTCTCACCACCTTTTCCAACATAGTACTGGAAATCTGAGCTGCAGCAATCACACAAGAAATAAAAGGCACTCCAAATTGGTAAGGAAGAAGTAAAATTGTCACTATCTGCAGATGACATTAGATACAGAAAACCCTAATGAGTCCATCAGAAAACTATGAAAATAAAGGAATTCAGTAAAGTCACAGGATACAAAATATAAGAAATCCCTTGCATTTCTGTACACTAATAACAAAGTAGCAGCAAGAAAAATTAAGAAAAAAAAATCCCATTTGTAATTGCACCAAGAAGAATAAAATGCCCCGGAATAAATTTAACCAAGTAGATGAAAGACCTATACTATGAAAACTATAGGACACTGATGAAAGAAAATGAAAACACAAGGAGTAGAAAGATATCCTATGCTCATGGACTAGAAGAATTCATATTGTTAAAAATGTTCATACTACCCAAAGCAATCTACAGATTCAGTGCAATCCCTATCAAAATACCAGTGGTATTTTTTACAGAACTAGAATAAGTAATCCTAAAATTTATATGGAACCATAAAAGACCCTCAATACCCAAAGCAATTTTGAGAAAGAAAAACAAAGTTGGAGGCATCACAATGTCAGATTTCAAGATATACTACAAAGCTATAGTAATCAAAATGGTATGATACTGGCACAGAAACAGACACATAGATCAATACAAAAGAATGGAAAACCCAGAAATACACCTATGCTTATGTGGTCAGTTAATCTATGACAAAGGAGGCAAGAATATACAATATGGAAAAGACAGTCTTTTCAACACATGATGCTGGGAAAATTGGACAGCTACAAGCAAAAGAATGAAAGTTGACCACTTTCTTATACCATACACAAACATAAACTCAAAATGGATTAAGGACCTGAATGTAAAACTTGAAATCATAAAACTCCTCAAAGAAAACATAGGCACTAATCTGGATCTGTCTCCTCATGCAAGGGAAACAAAAGCAAAAATAAATGAGACTATTATCAAACTAAAGAGCTTTTGTGCAATGAAGGAAACCAGCAACAAAATGAAAAAGCAACCTTACTGAACAAAAGAAAATATTTGCAAAAGGTATATCCAATTAGGAGTTAATATCCAAAATATATAAAGAATGCATACAACTCAACACACACACACACACACACACACACACACACAC